ATAAGTACTGTTTCTGATGATAAAAAATCAGAATAGTGGTTACTCTTGGATGGACAGTAGTGACTGACAAGCAGGCAATGCTCTACATTTTGGCGTGTCTAGTTATGTGGTGAATTCATTTACAATATGTCATGTGTCTTCTGTCATCAATAAGTCAATAAGCATATAGACTTGTAGAATGTATTAAGCTTTACTACATTTCATGATACGGTAATTTAAAATTCATCCTTTCCCCCAAAAGAATACTTGCTCTGTATATTATTTTCTACATGTATGATGTTGGGTTTGTTTGTTGATTTGTTTGTTTGTTTTGAGAAAGGGTTTCTCTGTGTAGCCCTGCCTGTTCTGCAACTTGCTCTGTAGACCAGACTGGCCTCAAACTAAGAGATCTGCCTGCCTCTGCTTCCTGAGTGATTGAATTAAAGGCATCCACCATCACACCCAGCTTGTATGACGTCATTTAACTGTTACAGCCATTTTATGAGGTCGATTTTCTTAGCCTTAATTTTCAGTTAGAGAAAAAGCAGCCCAGAAACTTCAGTAATTGAAACAGGCAGTGTGTGGCTGCAGAGCTGAAATGCCTGCTTACCCTCTTGCATTGTGTAATGGAAGGGGAACATGTGCTTTGGGCTAGGGAGGAGCCTCAGACTGGAGGTATGGAGAGTATGAAGAGGGGATCTGTCCTTTATCAATAACATAGGAAGTGAGACCATATCATAACAACAATAAAGAGCAGCATTGGACTCTGAGAAGGGTAGAGGTTGTGAGGACCCAGTGATCATGAGGACCCACACTACCCTGCACTTACTCTATCCTGCACTTGTCTGTGACTGACAGCTGGGTCCCAAGTCCTTTTTTATACTCAGCTTTCCTTCTGGCCACCTCAATTTTTGTTTTGTGAACAGTCATTACTGTTCCGGAAGCTGTGTGGCTTGTAAACACTTGTCACTGCTCACTCCTTACACCAGCACGAAAAGCCCCTCTTCACCTCGCTTAATGTTTTTTATCTGATGGGATCACTGTCACATCTGCTTTCTGGATATTAGCATTTGCTTGATATAAGTCTTTCTACCTCTTAATTTCCATCTTCCTGTGTCAGTGGTTTTGGGACTTTTTCACAAAGCCATTGCAGAAATGGATTTTTTAAATAGAGTATGAAAGATTGTTTTTTTTTTTTTGTGTGTGTGTGTTTATTTGTTTGTTTACTTTTTATTAATGAGTTTAAAGTGATTGTGATTTATATTATTAGAAACATTTTCCCTATTATCCTGATTCTGTTTCTTCCCTTTTTCCTTATCTTTAATTGAACTTATTGATGTCTCTTAGTTTTATTTTTCTTTACTGACTTACAACTGCATTCTTTCTACATTATAATGATTACCTTAATTTAGCCGGGTTATCATAAGTGTTCAAATATATCTGTTGTATGTCACTCAGTCTCTCTAATATTCCAGAAGAGAAAAGAGAAAAGGAGGCTTGGCCTGTTTTTATTTTCCCATGTTCCTTTGCAGCCCTCATGTCTCTTCCCTTTTGGCCCTTGCTGGTATTATTTTGAATTCTTTATCTAGGTAGCTGTATTTTTAAGATTAAACAAAATATAGTAAATAAAATTTTATTTAGATTCAATATATTTTATTGCTTTTGTTTGCTGTCTGTCACTTAGCCCATTTCTTCCTCTTGAAGTTCTTATTGGTGCTTTTTATTGTCCAGCAATTCTTTTAGAGAGAACCTTAAAATAATCAACTTCAAAGTGCCTTTCAATTCTAAAAATATATTTCTGCCTGTCACTTGGATAATAGTTTGCCTAGGTATAGAATTCGAACTTCAAAGTTCTCTTCCATTAGAACAAGGACATTTTTTCACTTGTCTTCTTGGATCCTGCATGCCTCACAAGAAATTTAATATTATTCTGATTCTTATTCCTTTGTGAGTTACCGTTCTTTAAATTCTGACCACTTTGGAATTTTAGTCTTATTCCAGATGTTAACAAATTTTATGGCAGTGCATCTAGGAATGTGTATTTGTGTGTGTGTGTGTGTGTGTGTGTGTGTGTGTGTGTGTGTGTGTGCATGTGTGTCTTTCCTGTTTAATCTACCCTCTAGCTAAGATTGTATTCAGTTCTGAAGAATTCTTCCATAATATTTCCATAAATGCTGTCTGTGGTTGATATATTGTGCACCCCAATAAACCTATCTGGGGATCAGAGAACCGAACAGCTATAATATTAAACATAGAGGTTAGGCAGTGGTAGCACACGCCTTTAATCCTAGCATTCCAGAGGCAGAGATCCGTCTGGATCTCTGTGAATTCAAAAAGCCACACTGGAAACAACCAGGCATGGTGACTCATGACTTTAATACCAGGAAGTGATGGCAGAAAGCAGAAAAGTATATAAGGTGCGAGGACCAGGAACTAGAGCTGGTTAAGCTTTTAGGCTTTTGAGCAACAGTTCAGCTGAGATTCATTCTGGATGAGGACTGAGAGGCTTCCAGTCTGAGGAAACAGATCAGCTGAGGAACTGGCGAGGTGAGGAGGCTGTGGCTTGTTCTGCTTCTCTGGTCTTCCAGCATTCACCCCAATACCTGGCTCCAGGTTTGTTTTTTATTAATAAGACTCTTTAAGATTCATGCTACAGCTGTCTTTCTTTCTATTTCTTTATTGTTTTAAGAATTACTATTGAACCTATTTTAGAACTCCCATGACATTTACATATTGTCACACTTTTTCTTTCTGTGTTGTCCTTATTCAAATGCCCAGCACAGGGCTGAGTTATCTACCTTCAATCTGACTTCTTCTACTTTTGATTTTTTTTTTCTACGATTGCTTGTAGCTTCTTGTTCACTACAAGTAATATGTTTTCATCAGTTGCCTCCAGAAAATATTTTCTACTGTTCCTAAGAACTGGGGATAAAGGCTACCCATCAAGAAAAAAGAGTTCAATTTACTAAATTGAATTTGCTTTTGAGTCTTGTAATATAATAAAAGCGCCCGTCAGCTGTGGCCGTTCAAGAGCAGAGCCGAGTTTGGCAAGGCAGGTCAAACAAATTGTGATGATGAACTTGAGGGGCTAGTGAGTCTTAAATTTGGAACTATGATGTATGAGGACCCGAAGATCGTGGGAGTTAAGAGCAGACTGAGAGAGGGTGCAAAGAAAGGGCTTTGTGACCCCAAGTCATTGTGGTGGATCAGGTGATTGCAATGATTGAAATAGTGTCAACATAAGAACCTGAAAGAGATCATTCAAGTTGGAGGCTTATCAGTGAGAAAAGCCTTAGTACTGAGGAGACTTAGAGAACTGATCTGTAGGGGTTGTTGAAGTAAAGTGTATAGTGTATGGGGAGAAGAGATTAAGGAATCCTAACAATCACACACCAGAATAATGATGCCTGTGGAAATTGACAAGATTTATGGAAAATAATGGCAGTCCCTTGAAAATTGCTCTTTATGAAAGTTGTCATTTACAAGTTATGCTATTACAACTTGGCAAATATAACATGTGAACAACAACAACAAAAACTAGTGTGTGCTTTATATGATTCTTAAAAATCTTTGGAACAGACAGCTTTCCTGAGGGCTGTTTTCCTGCCCACTGATTACAGGCCCATTTGTACTGACTCTTAAAGAAGGGAGTGACAGTTTGTCTTTGATACGGGCAGGACTCCATGGAACCAGTTGTCAGTTAGGCAGTTCAAGACATCAGATCTCTTCCCTGAGACAGAAATATGGGTCAGATTGGCATCCTCCAATCAGGGCTAGACTCCTGCATTTCCTGACTTTTGTTTTATACTCCAGTGATTATGAGGGAAGAGTCCAGCTCTAGTGCCTTCAAGCCTGCTAATATCTAATTAGCAGCCTAGCGTCTTTTATTTTTTTTTTTGTCTCTTTTCAATTTCTGGAAAGGCTGACTGACGAAGGAAGAAATTGATTCTGTTGCTGGTTCTGGTTTATGAGGAGTTGTATTACAAGATGTACACAAAGAAGTCATACCAATGGGGAAATAAGTAGCAGCCTTTACTAAAATGAAGCCGCCGGTCGTTTGCACGCAAGGCACAGCTAATGGCCTCACATTTAGGATGATTAGATTGCAGGAAGAAAAATATCTATGAAATCATAGCTGTGTACTGCCAGTGACTCAATTAGCTTTTCAGAATTATGTGATTAAGACGGGCAGGGCAATGTAGTAACATCAAATGCAACTATTAAATACTTCACAATGCACCCCACCTTTGCTCTAGACTATTGCCCAAACCTTATGTTGTATTTTGCTGTTATAACTTGGGTCTCACACACATGTAAAAGCAAAGTTGTTTTTTCTTTTTTTTGGAAAGCTGTTGAGCTTGCCAATATAATCTTCACATCAACACAGATATAACACAAAGAAGAAGAAGAAGAAGAAGAAGAAGAAGAAGAAGAAGAAGAAGAAGAAGAAGAAGAAGAAGAAGAATCATCATCCTTGTTTAAATAAGAGAGATAAAGAATGTAGCCAAAACAATTATACATGGTGTCTGCAACTTAAAGAAAGGATCATTTCCATAATTTTGTTTAAAAAAAACAACTGAAGCAGTAATTTTAATTTTCCTTGAGTTGAAATACACAGTGTGGGTTCTCCTCATTAAAGAAACTGAGAACACAAATGGAATTAGGGCATGTATTTTTGTGTTGCACATATTGTATGAAGGATAGAGACTAGAGACAGTACGGTTTCTAATTTCTATAAATAGTTTCTCTGGCACTGAGGACTTTTATGCGAAGTAAAAGTCCATCAGAAGTTTACCTCTTCAAGTGGGAAGTAGTAACAGATCCCTGTAGCCATAGAACTCAGGGGGCTGAGGCAGGAGGATGGCAAGCTAAAGGCTGTGTGGACTACATAGTGGGCTCTCCTCTCATTTGAGAACAAAGGAGAAGAGAGGACAGAAGGGGAGGAAGAGAAAAGCCCAGTTCCCTGAAACGGAGGTTCCTGACCAGGCTGAGCATGTGTGTGTTTCCTTCTGCCTTCACAGAGCATCTGTACGACCACCACTGCATTCCTGCATTTTTTCTTCCTGGCTTCATTCTGTTGGGTTTTGACAGAAGCGTGGCAGTCATATATGGCTGTAACTGGGAAGATCAGGACACGGCTTATAAGGAAACGCTTTCTGTGCCTTGGATGGGGTAAGCATATTAATATACTTTTTATGCTTCATTACTATGACACTGAGAATAACATCATAAAAGAGTAAAAAGAGACTGTACCCAGGTTACTAAGGTGTCTAACTTGAAACATGAAGATGAAATACATGAGAGTAGCCATTTTGAAAACAGCCATGGGGTCATTTGGAACTCTATAAGGGAATAATTAATTAGCAAAGTTTAAGCTAGTAAACTAACACTCAGTGTACCTTCGTGGTATACCTTGAGACCTGAGCTACCTAAAGTTGGAAAGACAATGTGTACCCTGCTGATGTTTTCTGAAAATGCAAAATGCTTTGAATTCTTTGGGCACCCAAATCATGTTACCCACGGGTTATATAACAAACCCTAGGTAACCTCTAAGTTTTCTATTCTCCCCCCCAAAAAAAATCTCCAGACTGTTAAAAAGTGAAGCACAGGGGAGGAGGAGTGGACCCTCAGTGAGGCAAGGAAACTTCACATGTCCTTAAGGAGTTTCTCAAAAGTAGATATGTACAATCACTGCCAAACTAGGAATTCATTCATTCATTGCCCATCATTGGGAAACCTTTCCAATTGCTTCATGGCAGAGACATCTCAATGATCGGTGATTTCATGGGACTAGTTTGAATGAAAGCATAGTTAATTTTTTAAAAGCTAGTTTTAGAAAAAGCACAGAATTTTTTGATGTTTGCCTTTGAGTTTTAAAATCCCCATAATGGGCCTGGCGGTGGTGGCGCACGCCTTTAATCCCAGCACTCGGGAGGCAGAGCCAGGCGGATCTTTGTGAGTTCGAGGCCAGCCTAGGTCTACAGAGCGAGATCCAGGAAAGGCACAAAGAGACACAGAGAAACCCTGTCTCGAAAAACCAAATAAATAAATAAATAAATAAATTAAATCCCCATAATGGGATAACTGTACATGAGTACACACAAAGACATACATGTACTCATACACACATGCATCAGACGATGAGAACAGGTTTTTAAAAGGAACCTGGGCCATTAAGAGCTAGTGAAGTTACTACAAGACCAGAACAATTCATCCTGAAACACAGGATCAAAACCACTTAAAGATTATCTGCCAGCATTCAGCAGGAGTGTATCCATATTTAGATGATGTATTAGGACTCTTTGTAGAAGCAAATGGAAAATTGAAGAATACATTCTACTTAGAGTTTTGTAAGATTTTTGTCTAGATTCCATGACAAAGATCTTCTAAAATGATGGCAGTATTGAACCAAGGAACACTTTTGTTGTGAATTAGGACCATAGATCGAAGGAAGAGAGTACAAGTGCAGGAAGTTCTTTCTTCAAGAGTGATGAGTTCCTTGCCAGTAACCAATAGCTACCTTATTTAATATTATTATTAAAGATTTTGAAGAAAAGGTTTGCAGTTCATCTCCAAAGTTATAGGTAATATCAACATTCTCTGAGTAGGCAAAGAGTTATATAGAATATCAGTGGAGAGAAGCACACCACAATTAATTTGGAAAACAAATGAAATCCAATTTATATGAAATAAAGATTATTAATTCCTTAGGTGTTATTTAGGTTATCCATGTTTGTGTGTTTATTTCTAATGAACTCCATCCATTCAATCAAAATATTCAGTCAGCAAATGGAATGTAGGATGAAGGACCTCGGGAGGGGAGGGGGCCAAGAGTGCCTATGTATAATTTATGTTATGAATGTATAGCTCCCAGTCTTTATTTTAAAACGTGGTGACTTCCCTTGGTGTGCTCTTCACCTTTCTTGTCTTTAAAGCTGGTGAATGTACAGACTATCAGTAGATTCCCAGGAGAAAGAAAATAGCAAGAAGTGTGGGAGATAAGAAGAAAGATGGCAGGCAGAGGGGCATGACAAGGGGATGATTAGCTGAGGGGCTTCGTTTTAATAAAGAAAGCAAGCATGTTCTTCTTAGAAATGCTGCATGTCCAAATATGTTTATATGTGCAGTAAAGGAAATCTTAAGAATTGGTTTGGATTTTCAGGTAATTGAGTTCTCTATTCCTACATCCTTATTGTTATAAGTAAGTTGAAAAGAACGTGTTAAGTGAAAAAATTACTTTTGGGGTCTAATTATAAGTTGGACTTGATATGGTCAATATGTGGCCAGCTGAACACCCCACTCATCCAACAGTCCATCACACCAGGGCATCCAGTTTTCTGCCTTTCTGGTTTTATAACTGTACATTTCCATTATATAGTGCAAACCCCTGGGGGGAAAAATGACTTAAAAGATATCCTAAATCTGTGTTATTGCTTCTCTTTAAAGCCAGGTGAGATGCAGTGGTAACCTAGCAACAGCAGGGCAGAGCACCCCATCAGAAAAATCTACCTGGCCCTGTAGTTTTGCACTTGAAAGTTTGTGATACAAGCATGCCTTGGGGGGTGACTCTTCCCGCAGGAGGTGCTGGGATCTGAGTACCCGGAGTTTGTCCAGGCTCGTCCTGGGCGAGTGTCCGCACTGTCTGCCACTGAGTATGAGATGTCACCTTGCTTTCCTTGCAGGACTGCCAGCTTTAGTCGTGGCCACGTCTGTGGGCTTCACCAGGACGAAAGGATATGGCACGGATCACTAGTAAGTCCGTCTATGGTGCTGACCGTGTTGATAATTAAGAAAGTTACCATACAGGTTTTATTTGTCTTGCCTCTGGATGTCATTCACTTTGTCACTGAGACATTAACAATGCTAGAGGGTGGCTTATAGGCACAGAAGTAAGGAAGGCAATGCAGCTATTCAGAATCCTTGCTTCTGTTTCCAGTTCTTCCTAAGACCAGTATATTTTCTTTTAAAGATACATCAGTATGTACTGTACATGTCAAAACTTAAGTACTCTCTGTTAGAATCAGTAAAATCTTGATGCTATTTTTCTGCTATGTTTTAGGATGTGACTCTTTCCTCAGCTTCAAATATCACTGATGTCTGTATCTATTATCATCAGCTATTATTACTTCAGGTTTTGTTGCTGTTTTATGGTGACACATTGCAATTGTTTGGTCAGGAGCCAGATTCCATATTAGAAGATGCCTAGGCTATAGAAGAAATTAGAAAGGGGTATGATGGCCCATCTTATGCCTGTGATGCTCTCAAAGTCCATGAAGCGATTTCTAGCAAAGATTAACTTTACTATTTCTAATTTGAAGCAATACACTTTCACCGTTTACTACACCAGCTTTCATATTGAGTATGTAATTGAGAAATGGGAAGTGTGCACATTATTAAATAGATAAGCATTACAATGTGACATTCTGTAATTGTTTCCAGGTTTAAGTTAGAAATTACTGATAATCAGGCCACATGTTGTACTCACCAAATTAAAAGTATATAAAAGGACATCACTTCACCTGCCCATCCCAAAGACTCCTACTTAGAGCTGGGAAAACTCCTAGTTTTGGAATTCTTTTTTTTTTTTTTTTATTCAATCCATATCACTGAAAGAAAATCCTAAGTGTTTATTTGAGGACTCTTATTTACTATAGCACAACTGTTTTAAATTCTTACATTCTTTATTAAAGTAACTATTTAGGTGTAAATCAAGGATTTATAAAACACCTTACTGATATTTATGGTTCCCACTTTTGAGTTTATAAAGTTCAAAGGCATGCCAAGCCATGTTTATCTTCAAACAAATGCACACGTTTGTAAATGTGTATACTAATGTTTCTGCATGTATATATAACTAATAGATTAGAATTTTAATTAAGGAATAACTCAGAGAGTCACATTGATGCGCTTAAATGTATCATGTTCTGAGTCTTGGCAAATACGCTCATTATGGAACCATGCCCTCAACAATTATAGAGCCTGTCGTGGTTAGACAAACCACAGTACAGTCACTGTCCCATGGTCTAACTGTTGAAGGCAGCTCACTGGCTACATGCACTGGGATGGTGGAAGGGACAAGCACAGTCCGTGAAGCAACGGCATGGCTGCTCACCAGTAGTGAGGTCCGGCCCCTCACGCTTTCCTCATCGCTCTCCCGGATGAGGGCATCCAATGCTCCATCTGCACACAACAGTGCTGTGCCCTCTGGCCGCTTCATTTCCTTTTGATTCAGAGAATGAGCATTTTTACTGGAAAGAATTCCATAGCCCCATGAGTGCAAACCTCCATCTCTTGGTGAAGTTAGTCCGTGGAACAAACACAGCTGCACTCATTCTAATTCACAATCTTACTCCCGTGAATTTCTTGGTAGTCTGGACAACAATAAAATCAAAGGGAAAACACACACACACACACACACACACACACACACACACACACACACACAAATCTGAGTTATCCATTTCTTGCCTTGATATCTTTTTTAAATTTTTTTATTATTATTATTATTTTCTTCTTCAAATTGCTTTTATTGGACAATTGAAATATTATTTTTTTCCCATCACAGGCAATTTATTTTTTTAATTTTTTAAGAGAGATTTTTCTCTTCATTTTACATATCAGCCACAGATTCCCCTGTTCTCCCTCCTCCTGCCCTCCAGCCTTCCCCCCAAACCACCCCCCATTCTCACCTCCTCCAAGGCAAGGTCGCCCATGGGGAGCCTGGCACATTCAGTTGAGGCAGGTCCAATCCCCTCCTCCCTGCACCAAGGCTTCACAAAGTGTCTCAGCATAGGCACTAGGTTCCAAAAAGCCGGCTTTTAAGTCATTTTCTCCCAGTATCTCAGTGGCCTCAAGGAAGACTTTCTAGACACGGTGATTGTTTTAAAGTCCCTCTGAAGGAGTCAGCCAGGGAGGCAAATCAACATTTCTTGTGATCATCTCTTTGCCATGAAAACAAAAGAAGAAATTGCAATATACAAATAATTTGTCTAAAACATTTTAACTGCCTCCAGGTAAAGCCCAGTGGTGAGGGGTATGTAGTGTTTCTTCCCCATGAAATGCTCTAATTCTAGTGTTTCTACAGCTTCTAAGGTTTAAGTTATAAATCTTGGAAAGGCGCCAATACTACAAGGTCAGATTCTAGCCAATGCTGTTTGCACCACAATCCAGTGGCCTGATGCTTATCACTGATTTTTGTTAGTTTTATCTAATGCTATTTTTAGCTGCTGGCTGTCTCTTGAAGGAGGACTGCTGTACGCCTTCGTTGGACCTGCAGCCGCTGTTGTCCTGGTAAACTCTGAAATTCACTTACTTGATTGCTTAGCAAAAAAGAATTATTGCAGTGGTTCACTTAGAATGGCAATTTTGATGAAGTGTTTGGTGGGGAGAAATTTTAAAGTCCAACTACTTATTACTTTAATTTCAATATCAATTGCTTTCTATCTTATATTACTCTAAAATATTCATATCTAAGTACTAAAGATTATTAAACTTGGGAGAGTGGAATTCCTATTACAGTGATTTCAGATGTGTGAAGAAACTCAAGTGAACTTCAATTAATTACTCCTCTTCAATATATAAAATCCCATTCTTTATTATCATTGAACCTCTATATTATTTTGTATAATGTTTTACATATGAATAGGAAGATTTATTCAAGAACGCCACTCCCAAATGTCTTTACCTATCTATCATCTATCCATCTGTACATATATATGTATACATATGTACATGTCAGTTTCACAAACTCAATGAGACAAAAATTTTAGAATGGATGTTTCATTGTTCCATAGTCTGTTCTGTGTATTCTCGTATGTTCAGTAGCATCCCTCCCTCTGCCTACCACATCTCCAGACATTTTTTATGTTCCCTATGGGTCAGTATTATTCCAAGTTAAAAACAACCAATAGATGTTAGGTACAAAGAATTTAATTATTTTCTTTTTAGAATAACAAATTTTTTCCCTAACTAAAAAAAATATGCAGAATTTTCTACCATCTTCTCTCTCTCTCTCTCTCTCTCTCTCTCTCTCTCTCTCTCTCTCTCTCTCACACACACACACACACACACACACACACACACCCACTTCTTCTCTCTTATACTCACACATCATTCTGATGAAAATAAAGGAGGAAAGAAATGATATATTAAATATAAAGATTCATATCACTATTCAATTAGACTATCAGTTAGATAATTACCCTTCACTTCCATGAGTGCTTCATTCAATAACTTGGAAGCTGGAAATGTCTTCCTTAATAACTCTGTTTGATGCTTCTGCCTTTAAAGATTGTTCGTTCTTTTAAGCTGTAACAGGGAACAAAAACTGCCCATGATTCACAAGAAAGAAACAAAACAAAACCATACCACTGAAGACATAAGTGTTACAAAAGAGCATAGGGAAATTGAAACTATTGCGAACACTTTTGTCTGTTGCATTGGATTTTTGTTAAATCAATTGAGTTCATTTCCTAGGCTGCTAGGTTAACATACATATAACCCTATAGTGAAGAAATGACCAGTATGCATATAATTGGAACACCAATACAATGTATCTCTACTGGTCATAAATCCTCTCATGTTTAAGTTGTGAGTTAAGAGAATCTATAGAACTTAAAAATGAAGTACAATGTGCGTTCTCTGGATGAGTGGTGTATTGCCCAGACACTAAGAGGGACATCTCCTAAATCACTGCCTAACAGACATGCTTTGAATCTTTCTCATATCAGCAAGGGAACAGATTTCAGTCTTCTCTTAACAGAGGAGGAACAGTTGCATGAGAGTCTGTAGCCCACTGATGATAGAGGGTAAAGGGCTAAGTTAGGTGAAAGAGAAAGACTCTTCTTTGATTTTCTTGGTTGTCACATGGGGATGGGTAGTCATCATCATCACCTTCTACTCATGTGCCTCACAATTTTACTCAAAAGAACATTTTCTTACTGATTTCGATTCATCCCTATTATGCAAATAAAAAAGTGAAAGTAAGGAAGTCTTTGAAAAATGTTGATAAGTGCTCAGAGAGTGTATTTGAAGAATTAATGCCTGTCTCTATCTCCTGATGGAATCTGGAGATTGAATAGGCTTTCCCTTCTTAGAGAATATAATGTATCAGAAAGCCCCTGACCCTGGGAGGAGAGCAGTCACATAGCTGCTATGACCATCTAGCCATTCTGTCTTCGCTGCTGGGGACAGTGGCAAACCCCAAGTGCCTTAGCCTGCCTAGACTCAGCCCAGCCCCTTGCTGGGAGATTTAAAATACGTTGGCTTTTAAGCATAGAATAAAACTCATTTAGCCCATCATTTTATTCAAAGTTTCCTCTAAAAGAATAAGACCAGATTGATTTGGGGGTTTGGTCCCTTTTAAAAGTTAGGCATTTGAAGGTTAATTTTACCATGTTAAACTGCAAACCATGAAAATTAAATGTGTTTGGTGGACGTATAAATGTTAGCGGCACTCACCACTGTCCAACTGCTCATTACTCCTTTAAGAAGTCATTCATATCAGTCTTCAGAATCAAGCCCTCCATAGAGGGTTAAGACATGTTTACTGGAGAAATGAGGACCTGATCCCCTTCAGTATCATTGAAAGGTCAACTTTGTTTCTATTTGACAGGTCAACATGGTGATTGGCATTTTGGTATTTAATAAACTTGTTTCCAGAGATGGAATCCTAGATAAAAAGCTCAAACACAGAGCCGGGTAAGCTGCCATTGGTAGATTTTGAAGGTTCTTTACAAGTAAATCCTGTAGTCCAGGTCCAGGTTGCCACTTATGTGGGGCTGTGCCCTGAACTCTGCTCTTCATGTACTAGTGTGTCTGGTTTAAGGTTTTTCTGGTATAACACGATATTCAACAGAAGTAATAAATCAGACTGTTAAGAAGATGTGGGCGTACATATTTCTTGCCCATTTATTAAGATCAAACACTAACTCTAGACTCCAAATAGTTGTCCTGAGGTAAGGGATTTCAAAACCCAAAATCTTTTGCTCACAACTGGGTCAAGTAAAACTAAATAGAGTGAAATAGTGGTTTGTTTGTTTGTTTGTTTGTTTGTTTGTTTTTTCCTCTCTAGCTAATTATATAGACCAGAAAAAAACAAAACAAAGCAACAAAAAAAACTTCACTTAAAATAGATACTTATCAAACATTATTCTTGTCATATAGTTTTACGTTTAAAATATAATTTGCTAGAACAATTATTTGTAATTTTCATGTGTGGACTTTCGCCATTTACAAAACCTATAAAAGCAGCTACCCCATTTTTACTGTTACTACAATATCAACAAGCACTTCCTACATAGATTTATAGAAGCATTTTAGGTTACAGCAATACCCCACTCTTAAGTATTTGTAGAAATTTGAGTGAGATATTAATGCCCTTGATGTCCTCATGGGTCTTTTCTTGAAAATAAATAAATAAATAAAATAAAAGGTTACAGCTTTCTTCTTTCTGGAAAAAAAATGTACCTTCATTCAAAACATATTCCTATAATTGTTTTTTTTTAACATTTTATGAAATTTTTAACAGTCATAATATGTAATCACTCACTGGTAATAAATTAAAGATCTTTCTGTTTTTATAATATATGTGATGATTATAATGTAAGATAACATTATCTTACATTATAATAACAGGTAGTTCTTTTCTCTAGTAAAAGACTAAATTTAATAGCTTTCAATAAAAAAAACAACTCAATGTTGTTCACATAAGTCCCTAGAACTACAATGGTATAATCAAAGCATGGATCCTTCCTGGCACAGGGGCGCTTTTTAAATTACATACTGTTTTTCATTACAGATTAGTTTCTAAACTTTCCTGAGCTTGTTGTCAACTCTGAGTTTTCTATTCCACCTGACATGAGCTTTTCACAGAATCACCCTTGCTAGCTTGCCACATGTGGCTGGGATAGTCACCATTTCTTCTGTTGATCAGTCTAAGTACTGGACAGAGAAAGTCGGCTCTGGTCCCAGTGGCATCCACATTTCCTAAAGGAGGTCTTCGAAGTCAAAACTGCAGCGCAGTAGCTGTACATGTGTCTTCGGGCATTGTTACTTCATCTTTCTGAAGCCCTGTCTCCTTGTCCATTAAATAGGAAAATTGCTTTCACCTCATTAAATACATGAAGTAATGTGCATAATGGTTTCAGAAGAACATTCGCAAATGGCAAAGCCTTACTCAACCAACAGTGGGTCTTATGATGGATGAAATAACATGGGTAACAAAGGTCCCTGACCATGATCTCAGCATCCAAGACACGGAGGTCAGAAAGGGAGATGAGCTCATTAAAATGTTGAGGATTCCGCGAACCTGTGGCCAGTGCTTCTTTTCACACTTCATTATTTTGTGCATCCTGTCAAGTTTGATTCACATTGCTCTAGACTTAGCTACCATTGCTGGAGCATGAATTTAAAAGTTATTGCTCTTATCTTCATATTGGCAATGATAATTGTAATTGAAGACCTCTAATTCTAAAAGCATTCTTAGAAGTCACATGGATTTCACTGGCAAATCTGCCTCAGTGTCTTCCTATTCATATGGGGACTTCTTCAAAGATGCTAAAGTCTTTCTACATGTAGAATTGTGGTCACTGTCCCAAACACAGGAGAGCTGTCAAGGTAACGGCCAAGTTTAAACAACATTTGTTGAATGGAAGTTCTAAGGTAGACTATGTGTATGTAGATTCAAATTTGGTCTCTAATCTCAAGTGTGAATAAAGGAAACTTAAAATACTATGGATGTGTGAAGTTACTTTTAGTCCTCAGAGAGGGAGTGAAGAAAGTAATAAAGCCTTCAAAGAGGAGCTTAATCAGATGCACCGAGAAAGTGTTGAGCATGGTGGATGCTGACTGGCTTAATAATTGATTTCACTAATTGTAAAGTTGACTATTTCAGAGTGGTTGAATATATACATATAAAAATGTCTATATATACATATAGAGAGGGGCATATTTTGTGAAACTAGATGATGTTATTTAAAGTAGAATATAGGGCCTAGTTATTCATTCTTCCATTTTTTTCTATTTCTAAATTTATTGCTTTTTTATACTTTATAATCACTTATTAGAACTATCCAAGCATATCTTTTGTGCTCAATAAATATTTATAAAGGAATGAATGAATAAATGTTTAATAAATAATAAAAAAGCTTTAAAAGCTGTGTAACATCCAAACTATATTAAAAGTTTTCTAATACATAAAATATATTTACCAAGGGTGATTTATTGACAATAACAGTATATCTTATATAAAATGATTAGTGGAAATAGCTAAAAACAATATAAATTATGATGTATCTTTTTAGAATATCTTTAACCAAAAATTATATTTTCTCAATTTTTTGCAATGGCGTTTTCTTGTATACTGTATTAAACTGCTCTGCCATATCTACTTGAAATCAAGGAAGTTAGCTCAGCACACCCTTTACACACTCCATGAACTTTCTTCAAGTAGAGGAGTGAATACTTTCTTTCCAGGGAATCTGTTAGATATTAACAATAAAATAGTCAAATATTTTTTCCTAAAACTAACAGAAGGCATTGAGAAGGGAACAAGAGCAGCGGACTCCAAGTCTTGTGGTAATAATACAGCAGACAGAACAATATAGGGAGAGTAGGGTAATAATCCACATCTTGTTCCCCAGTGGTGATATATTTATCAGACAATATGGACAAGTCAACTTTGTATTTCATCATTGCTTAGACTTGCAATTTTATGAGTGCATAATTTTCTAGATAACAAAGAAACCTTTTATTTTACATTGCAGGAACTCAATTTAGAATCTAATATATGTTTTCCACGCTTCATTAATTTATATACAGATCACATATATTTTTCAGGATGTTTCACTCTACTCCATTCCTGCCTATAGTGTGCCAAAGCTGCACAGCTGGTTAGCTGTAAGGAAAGGATGTGTAGGCCTTTTAGCCCACCCCAGATCTCAAATAAAGACAAATACGTACTTTGAACCCTGCTGTAAATTATCAGAAAATTTCATACTTAAATCAGGTTTTCAGGATTAAGACCTTTGTATCTTGGGTATTTACCATATTATTATGATTATCACTATTATTATTTATTATTATTATGTAACCTTTGGTTGTTCAGTTTTGTCTCAGAGCCCAGGGGAAAGGTATCCTAAATTTGAGAAATAACTAGTATCATATGATTATCTTCTGTGATAAAAGAAACAATAAATGATGAGTACGTGCCTTTTAAGTAATAATGTGTTTAACAAGGAAGAGACTCGGGTGCATGCTTAGGGCAGTTGCTCTCATTCCTGCTTGTTTACCACAATAATCTATGAAGCTTTAAAAAGGACATATGTCTGGGTCCCCTGAATTAGAATGTTTGGAGTGATGAGAAAACTGAACCAGGTACTACTCTGGGGACAAGTCTTGACAAGCTCATAGGACTATTCAGAGAGTAAACTACACACCATGCTACAAGTGTGTGTACATGTGTGGTAGTGAAAAAGACCCTGCATTAGTTACATCAGTGAAGTGAGCGATTACAACCTACGTGCAAACCTTTGTTTTGTTTTCCTCATGAGATCTGCTGATCAATCTGTGATATAATTCAGGTTTTATTATACCATCTGAGCATGATTTACAAATGCTTGTACTCACTTAAAAGAAATCAGGCATTCTCTCCTCCCCCACTTATTCTATATAATAACACAACTCCACTATAACATTAATCTAAAAACTTCCCAGGCAAACACATTTTAGACATAAACACCACATAGGAATGGAATACAAACTATACCACAAGAAAGCTTTGAATTTTGACTCATGTAATTTCTTTTTGTTTTTCCTAAGAGGTTTATCTATTAATAAACACAAAGTTTCAGGGAAAAAATTTGCAAGGGGAAATGCATACATAGTTTTTCTATATAGCCTCATTTTGCTTCTATAAAGTAGTAAATAAGAACTACATTACTAAATTCTGAATTCACCTGCAAAATGTCTTGGGCCAACATAGATCATTAAATGTTGTATGTTTGAATCTCTTACTTTGGACTTAATTACTGTGATAAATATGTTTTATGTAGAAAGTAGGTGCTCTTTTTTACATAATATTTTGTCAAGTTTCATCAGCCCCTGTATTCAGATCATCCTATAATTTGAACAGATATTGATGCTACAAAAAATTTTAAAATAAGAATCTGTACAGTTAGAAACTACATCTCTTACATTTGAAGATTATATATATATATATATGTGTGTGTGTGTATAAATATAATATGATACATACCTTACTTTCTTAGATTTCATGCCATAATGTTAGCATTTCTGGAGGTCTTCCTGATATTTGAAATTTCTTCATATGACAATGAAAAACTTTGAAGCTAAGAGTTCTCACATGTTTGTTTACCATGGGTCTGAATAAAGGGTTATTGCTGTATGTCTATGCAAGCACATAGGTGTATTTAACTCAATGTATTAGCCAATTGTATTTTATAGACACAGGGCCATCTGTCATGTAAGTAATGGAAACATACTTTGCAGGCTACAGAGGCCCGCAGTGTTAAAAGGTGAATGTTGCAGAGATGATAAAATGGTGTGATGGAATCTATAAAGTGATCTAGAATGTTCCTTGATAAATATACTCTTTCTGCATGAAATAGTATTTAAAAAACTAACTTGCGGCTGCCACTTCTTTGGTGACCATTCAATATTTTTGTTCTTTTTTTTGTGGGTGTTCTGTTTGTTTGCAGTCAGATGAGTGAACCCCATAGCGGTTTGACGCTCAAGTGTGCCAAGTGTGGAGTAGTGTCTACAACAGCTTTGTCAGCCACCACCGCCAGTAACGCCATGTCAGTCCCAATCATTGACATCTTCTTGTTACCAGTTGTACATGTGCATGTGAGAAAATGCTATGATGGAAAAAAAAATGGGTTTGCTAATCCTTGAGTGTTTATCATTGGCAACTGCCTTTATAATGACTGTAAAAGACAAGTCAAATTCTCAAGTGTTATCAGCGTTGTGCTTTCCAAGTTAATGGTCTTGGTGCCACGCACAAGAATGCTTTTGGGGAGAGTGAATGGGGGTTTGGTTATGGCCTGGAGCATGGCGTGCAACCACGTAATATTGCTGTCTTTTCTGTTTTGACAGGGCCTCGCTTTGGAGCTCCTGTGTGGTGCTGCCCCTTCTGGCTCTCACATGGATGTCTGCAGTGCTGGCCATGACCGATAAACGCTCCATATTGTTTCAAATCCTTTTTGCTGTGTTCGATTCATTACAAGGCTTCGTGATAGTCATGGTCCATTGCATTCTTCGGAGAGAGGTGAGGAACAGAATTCTTTTGTGAAAGAGAAAAACAAAAGCGGGAAGGTGCATCTTAATTAACCAGTGTGGTCCTTTATTGTAATCTTCAGACAAAGTTGATCTTCTCCACTGACAGTTGCTTAAGATGAAAAGCAAATAAAAGAAGCTTTAAGGCAGAATTCATGAGGCTTTGACACTCAGAAAGGGTCAGATGGAAATACATGGGTTTGTACAAGGGAAATATACCAGAGGTGCTAAGAACCAGGAAGGACAGACTCAAGACAGATGGAGTAAGCTAGGTATGCTGGACAAACTAGAGGGAGAAAGGATAAGGTGGGCATGTCTTAAATGGCACTCTTCCTAAACATCATATTGTGCTGTTTCTTACCTATTTCCTAATCTAGCTACTACACAGAGCGTATCCTTGGTCCTGTTATTAACTAATCTTACTTTACATGCAAATTGCATTTTAAAGTTTCTAAAGATAAATGGTCTTGACTTGTATGTTTGTGCCAACAACTACAGAACCTGCATATAATAAGGCCTTGTAGGCAGTATTTGTCCATAAGAACTACAGGCCTGCAATCAAGGCACATCTCTGGGTCACAGTTGGAGTTTATTTTCCATGAAAGGAAGAGGACAGTCCCTCTGGACTAGAGACACTGAGCGGCCCCAAGCTCACCGAAGACAGCGAGAGACTGCTGATTTGTGTTGTTTAGGGATAAAATATTGTTTTCCAACTAGTGTGAAAATGATCTTGAGTGCTTGCAAGCACTGACACAGTGTTTACAAGGTTTATGAGTCATCACAGCGTTTGCTCTGGGGAAGAGTGGGGACTAAAGAGTAAGCCGACACCATGCCATGTGAGTGGTTTTGAGAGCAGTGGACTGTCAGGCCGCGTTAGCTAGCTTGCTTGAGTAGCTGGTTGTGCCAACCACACTACAGAGTGCGTGTGCATCTGAGCACACACACCCCACTGTTTTACAGTGATATGTGAAGGTACTGAAAGGCCTTAACCTGATTTATTAGGTGGGAAGAACAGTATTTTCTACCTTATTTCAGGAAGGCACAGATGTCAGCAATAAACTCACAGGTGTCTTCTAAGAATATTCTATGACGAGAAGCCATGAAAACAGATGAAGTGTGACTTCTTCATCTTGCAAGGGGGAGATATTTCACAACTTCAAAATCTAAAGTAGCTTACAACTGTCAAACCTTGTTCACCAACTTCTACCTAAAATTATCATTTCCAAAATCTCCCGAATATTGAGTTCTTTATAGAGCAAAGCAATAAAGGTTAAAAAGGAATTGAATGATAATTTAGATTATATTCTTTTCCAATTATGACTATCTTGTGGATCACCTGTATTAACATTCCTCTATGACATTTAAGTAACAGAATTCTCCTAAATTAATAGGCACATAGCCATTTCAATTGACAATTAAGGATGGACTATTGCAGGCTTTAAGCAAAGTGCAAGACATATCTGCATGCAATTTTCAGAAGAAACTAATCCCCCAGTTATTAAGGTATAGACAAGTACTCTACCTTTAAATAAATTCTCTCTCTTAAAGACATGGCTTTATGGAGCATACAGTAACCTCAAACTTACTATGTAAGTTTTATGTTGTGCTAGGGACTGAACCCAGGGCTTTGTGCATGCCAGGTAAGCTCTCTACCAGCTAAGCCACATGCCCAGCTCATGTGTCTTTTTTAGACAGTGTTAGGTGATTAAAATAAACAGAATTTTAAGTGACAGATATTATGATGGCTTATTAACAAATTTTTGCTACTTACTGGGAGAAAAAAAATTGGCAGAAAAATTCTTGATACCAATCAGAACTTTTTAGTACTTTCTAATTAGACTGTTGACTGTCAAAAACACGATTTAAGTGCAATTAAGTCAAATCATGAAACAAATGCTTCCAATAAATAAGATATCTGTAAATCCATGTTTTCTCCATTAGCAGGAACAAAAGCATGGCCATTTTCTCTGATACTGTTCAGTGGATAATTCCAACTGAATAACTCTTACTGGTAAATTCATAGTGAATTGATACAGCATTCTTTAGTTCTAACATTAAAATGAACATATTCTTTGTAGATTTTTTGTTGTTGTTGTTGAACCATAAAAACACTCTGTAACTCTGCTAAAAATGCATACATTTCAGTTAAGGACAAATGATCTTCAGAATTCCTAAGAGAAGTTTTGTTATTAAAGAAAGAAGGGGTTTTTCAATTTGTAAATTAAATGCAATTGTGTACATTACATGGAACGTATCATACATAGCAAGCTTCCTTAGAAGCAAAGCCTCTTTCTACTCTACATGTGTATGACCTGACTGTGGGTCTGTCTCATGTAGCCATGTTGCCCTAACATTGAATCTAGTGTAAGAGAAAAGAAACCCCTTCCCATGTCCTCTGTGCCTCCCATCAGCACTCTTTCCATTAAAAAGTACCATAAAAAAGTGTTTGTGAAATGCTGAGTTGTAATGTGTGGCTCTGAAATATTTAATTTGTAATTCTTAGCTGATAATCCACAGGAGACCTAAATACAGTTTTGTCTTTCTTTCTTTTTTTTTTTAACCCTTTTATTTCTCTGCTCTTTTCTTCAGAATAATTTCATATAATCTGTATAGAATTTTTCTTTCTTAAAAATATGCAAGCCATGTAACAGATACTTTTGGTATAGAGCCTGAGTACATACATATTCTTATTCCTGTCTATTTTTTTACCTACCAACATAATTTGCTTCTTTTTAGCTATTGCTGTTTTTACTCATACTGACTTGCCCAATCTTTGTGGAAGAGGATGAAATATAGCCTTGCACTTACGGGAAGAATGAAAGACTGCAGGGGTGGCATTGAGGATGTAATATACAGAGAATACTTTAGGTGTGATTTTGCTTTTGACAGGCTCAATTGTCAAAGAAAAAGAATTCCGAATCTGGAAACAAGGGAGGGAGAATTGTGCTGGCGCTGACATCTGAATGTCTGTGTGTTTACGTGGTTGTGGTAAATAAATGTTCATGTGCCAGTGCACTGTCTATGTGCTCCCATGTGGAGCCAAAGGAGAGCTCCAGGGGTCCTCTGCCCTTCTCTGCCTTATTGCCCTAAGACAGACTCTCCCACTAAACCCGAAGCTCCACCTTTGGCTAGGCTGGCTGGCCAGCGAGCTCTAGGGATCCTCCTGTCTCTGTGTCTGCCTCCACCCCAAGGGCTGAGATTACAGGTTTACAGCTATGCTGCTTCTTTAACACAGACACCAGGGATTCAAATTCACGTTCGCATGCTTGCAAGGCAAACATGCTTACCCACTGAGCCACAAGCCCAACCCCCGTATTTATTTCTATAAAAAGGAAATTGACTATCTAAATGCCTGTTCCTAATCTCTAGACCTGACGAACTTAGCATTTGAATACCATTTTTGTTTTCTTAACAGGAGAGTTGCTTCTTTTAAAACATCCTTGTCTTTTTGAATTGTTTTAGCAAATGTTTCTAAGTGGGGGCGGGAGAGACAAAACTAAAAAAGAGAAAAACCGCTTCAAAATAGTCAGACATCACAATACATTACACATGACCTAGACACTAATGTGTGTTCTAGACAATCAGATTGAATCTAGTAGAACAAGTATAGATGTTTCCTGCATTCGTTGATTAGAATTCATTTGGACTGAACAGATAAGAATGCATACTATTTACTATTCTCCTCATTGCTATGGAAATGAAACTACACAGAGTTAGGAAACCTTTGGAATAGTTCCTGTTGCTAGGAAACCACTTTCTTGGTTCCTGCACATTCTTCTCATCTCTGTCTCTGGCTGTGCCAGGCTCGAAGACGGTCTTGCAGCTTGATGTCAGAGGGGGAAAATAACGAGATTGTGGTACCAACTAATCTAAAATAAAGCCCTGCCACTAAATGGAAGGGGAAGGGGGGGCTAAAAATTTAAGCCTTAAATGGATGGTCTTGTTGTGTCCCTGTGTAAGCATCCTGTGACTCTTCCATGACATTAGTATCAGGGCCAAGATCTTCTCTCTCTCTCTCCCAAGCTCTGGTATGAAGGCTGGCTGTGCCAGATGAGGCACATATCACAGTTCTAGTTAGAGCATTGGATGGCCTTGATGACAGCTACTTACAACATGTGGTATCTGAAAAGCAGTGAATATATGTTATAGAGCTAGTAAGTGGCCAGGTGTGGAGAGAGTCAGGGCTTGATTAGAACATTTCGCTTAGAAGACGGATAAATAACACACCGATTAAGAGACAGTCAAGCCATTTACTAACACCTTCATACTTTTCAGGCTGAATTTAAAATTCCCAAAGAAAATCATTTGAAGAGTCGGTGGTTTCGCTTTGTTTTCGGTAAAATAAAATATGTGCCTTGAGGTAGGAGAATGGCAAGAGGTAATGAGACAAGCCTCAATTGGGATGTGACATAAGCCAGACTGATGTTTTCAGTCTTACATTTCCTCAGAAGCCACCGACCTCACCTCACTCCGCATCAGGCTTCTTAGACAAGGACGCGTCCATCTTGCTACTTCTAGATCAGGCTTTCCCATGCCATCATCATTCCGATTATAGGGTGACCTTCTGCATCCTTCTGAATCTTCAAACATGTGTCCCCACAGACACGTAAGAGGTTAACAGATGTGTAAACGCTGTTGAAAGAGATGGCTTCAGTGAGCAAGTCCAGACACGGAGGGCTTCAAACACAACATGATGTCCCGGCATGCCTAGCAGGGGGCATCCAACTGTGATTTATGTTACTGAATTCTTCCAGCTACATTTTCCTCCCAGCTACCCCCTACTCTGGGGAGCAGCATCATGCTGCTGTCTGGAGTGAGAGGCTGGACACCAGCAGGTTGACAGGCAGCTCCCACTCCACCCAAGATCTCACCTTCCAGCTCTGTTATACTGGTACAGTGTGTGTGTCTTTTTGAAAGGAATCCAATGAAAACGTACCTGGCTGTTCCTTTCTTAAAAACTGTCTTTTTGTTTTGATTCGTTCCTTGGCTTAAGCCATTCTCATCTTTGTTCGGTAGATTTGAAAGGCTAGAAATAGAATGATGTTCAGGAATGAGGGCTTTCAAAGCAAGAAGCCTAAGTTCCGTTTTCAGCTTTCGTCGCCTATGGTAATAATGTCGGGCGAGTTCCTTGCAGTCGCTAAGCGTGATTTTGCTCTTCTGTGCATCGCCAGGCTGTCTATCTCAAAGGCTGTGGCACCAGGCTGAAATGAAATGCCTCCTGTGAAGGTGCGAGGCATGGTGTCTAGCACACGATTCTTTCCTCTCACATTTGCACACTAAAGGAACACTGCTACATTTTTTCAGACTGAGTGTTTGAAAGATCATCTAAAGAAGTTTCAGTGTGCCCCAAAGAGGGCTATAAAAAAAAAAACTAGCTTGAAGGTCAGTCAAACGCACAGACGTTTCAGATAGCCAATGGTAGATCCTTTGGCATTGGGGGAATCCCAATAAAGATTCATCAGGGTTTGAGGCTGAGAGTGAATTCTGAACTTCTCATTGTATAGCAAAGGACAAAGCTTCCTTTTTCTTTTTATTTCACTAAGAGAAAAAGTCAAGTAATATTTTTTTAAATGTCAAGTCACATGTGCTACTTATGTCAATTGGCATCATATTTGTGAAACTGAGACTTATTCATTCATTTAATGATTAAATATAAAATACATCATGTTGAAAAAAAAATCTGTGCCATTTGTTCTAGTTTGAATCAATAGATGTGATTGTGGACACGAGACTGAAGAAGACACATGGCATGGGAGAAACCCCTCTCCCCAGAAATCATAACAGCTGAACACGAGCATAAAATGTGTGTGTCCCTGACTTACAGTGACCTTGTGAGTTCCCAAAAATTCACAAAGAGTAACTTGAGGTAAAACTTCTCATCTCTCCGAGGTGAAGATTTGGGGTCTGAGCAGTTCAGCAGCTAAATCCAGAGCCCGTTCCAAACTGTGGAACTCTTCCCGGCGAGGCTTCGCGGATTTGTAACACTGCCAATGTGCTGGGTGCCCCTCTCCCGCAATCCTCTAAATCTGGCATGGACTTTGCACAGTGATTCTCTGCCAGCTGCCTCTAGAGTGAGGACCAATTGAGAAGCTCTCGGCTTTCTGCTGCTGCTGCTGAGAAAACCCAAATGTCTCACCCCATGATGGAGAGGCAGGAGCTAGACTTTCCCTGCAAACTCCTTTGAACCCAGATCTCATCCAGGAAACCATATGCACTGAGAAAGACCAATTGCCTCTCTAGGCATTTTCTAAAGCAGCCTCCTTACTGCTCTGCACCTTAGTAGAGACAGCCCCGATGGCTCTCAGATGTCGCCTTCTGTTCTTTCCTTTATCTCCTCACAGACCATCAGGCTTCCTTAAAGTCCCCTAAATATTTTAAAGGTAGTGACGTATCTGTTCCTTGCTGCGCCCTCTTACTTTTAGCCCCATCTGGTCATCATTTAGAATGACAGACCTATTTCAGAATGTTTCAAAGAGAAGACATTTTATAATCTTGTTATGAAGTGTGGCATAATTAATGTTAAATATTTCATGGTTCCCCCCACAGATTCATTTAAAAATTGGGTTTACTGGCCTCCAGAAAGGTTTTGAAATGTTAATTTCACAGGAACTCAGATTTGTAATGATAATATATAGTAACAAACTAAGGTTAACAGTTTTAAAAAGAGCTGTTAACTAAATTAAGTAATTAGTCCTCTATAAATAGTAAATAAAGGACAGTTGCTACTCACCATCGTAAATATAATGTTGGTATAGGAGATCCAGGGGGACTTTAATTTTAGAATGGCATAGAATGACCTGTTTTTTCTTTTTGTTATTTATTTTCATGTTTGTCTAGTACTTGAATTTTAAGCAGTTCCAGTTTATCATTGGTATAATTCACATTAATTCCCCAAGGATAAAACTCTTTGTTTACCTAATTCAATTATCAAAATGTTTGCACTTGACTGAATCTTTTTCCAGATACTATCTTCTCTTATGCCCCTCTGTGGTAAGGAGATTTGCCAAGTGCATCTTGCCTCAACATCTCCTCCCATGGTGTTGAGCAGATATTTAATGCCGATTCATCTTGATAGCCTCAGTGTGTTTTTAGATTTTTTTAAAAAAATCAAATAAAGCATTTGGAATGAAATGAAATTTCTCCTGAAATCCTTATGAGTGAGAGTTGTGCACTAAAAATGTCTCGGAATCTAATTCTTATATTTGACACCTGTAAGAACCTTAAAGTGACCTTAAAGTGACCTTAAACATAGTGGAAAGTTTGCATGCTTTTCTGTCTTCTCTCTTCCAAACAGCACTGACTGACCTGTAAAGCTGACGTCATCCTCCAGTGTAGACCTGCCCTTAGCCTGCTGTCGCTTTGGGAGTTGTGCAGTCAAAAGTATTGATTGTGCGTGTGTCTAAGTGTATGTGTTGAAAAGGAGATTTCTTTTATATATCCTTCAATCAACCAAACAATGATTTGGAAGAGAAATTTATAGAAAATTTGCTTTTCCATGTTGTTTAATGTCAGCTGTTAAAATCCTTGACAACTTTTTGGCGATGGCTTCAAAATAAAGAACACTTAGCAAGGACCAGAGAAAATAATATTTACCATTGCACCTGTCAGTTCAAACACACAACTCTCACCCTTTCGAAGGAGAGAAGTAGTTTATTCTAGAGCCAAATATGAGTGACAGGGACCCAGGAACACAGATTTAGGTCAGCCAAAATTCCATGGTCCAACACGCTAACACTATGGTGACGTTGTTATAGTAACAACAAAGGAAAGTACTCATCAAACCACCTCTCATCTACATCGATAGAAACATCACGTAGTCAGTGGAAGCAAAACGGGGAGCTGCTGATTTAGTTTACTTGGAAACTTTCATTCCCACAGCAGTGTTTCATATTTTGTAGATGTTGGTATTTAGAAGTAGGTTTAAAGGGAATCTTCATGTGGCACACTCCCCAAAGACAATGTTCCTAATGTATTGTATGTTTTCCTTTATGAAATGTACTTTAATTGTTGCCTTGGGTTATAAACAGAGTTTAACCTGACCCTGTGTTTCTGACAATGGTTTATAAGGTTTTAAAACAACAACAACAACACACATTTACTTTGTGGTTTCCCTAATTCAGATTAAAGAATCACAGAAAAAGAATGGCCATCTGGTAAACACTGAACTCATTACCAGTTTTCTCTTGTTGATGTATTATTTTATAACCTATAATGACTTCTTGGTCTAAAAAGGAATCTCCTGAAAATATTCATGATGAAAGAATTTTTTGCTCTGTCCTGGGTCTGTCTGCCTCACTGGGAGAAGCAAGATGATTCAGTTCTTCTGTTCATCTGAGTCTTCGGAAAAGGAAACAGAGTAGATTAATGTCCAACCGGACTCTTAATTGATATGTTGGACCAAAGAAATGTTATTAGGGAACTGATCATTCTTTTGGAGGACTCTGAGATTAACAATATTAGCACTGTAGAATGGAAGCCATCAAAAGACTCTTAGTCCGACTTCACAGATCCTGGCTGCACCACCAGCAGAGAACTCTGGGTAGAGAGATGATGATGTGTGCGCAGGTCTCTATAGGGCCGGCAGGCAGTCTGTGAGAGCGACTACACAGGTCTACATTCCAGACCCAAACTGCAGTTTGGGGGAGAGTATTGATGACTCAAAAATGGCAGGAAGGAGACAAAAACAAACGAATGGACTCAGGTTCTGATCCATTCTGTTCTGTGTTGTTCTGTTTGTTTCCTGGCCAACATATATGTTTTATACATCTCACATCAAAACTGAGACCGGATGGTATATAGCTGTGCTTTTCAAAGAGAAGACCTACATGTGTTTACCCTGCAGTCTCTATAAGAGTGATTCAATAGAGGGGAAACCTATGTTTTAATAACAGTAAAACAGATTATAGTAGATGAGAAGGAGAATATCAAACACATGAAGGCATACAAACAAAGTATTAAAAAATGACTTGGCCATTAATTTGGGATAAGTAGCCATCTGTGAACATATTCACCAACAACTTGAGAGCAGCCTAAGGGACCACAGAAAGGGGATGTGCATTCTGATGCCGAGGTGTCAGAAAACAGCAGTTGCTTTTGTTACACAACCAGGGGTGTTCCCTTTTCCGCTCTTTGCCTCTGCTGAGATTCCGCGAGAAAACAATTAATGTGACATTCTTAGAAACTCCTTGTGATAGTTGATGCTGCATCCAAGACTTGGTGGGTGGTCTAGGAAGTCTGACTGAGCTAAAGAATTTTGATCTTTCCTACGTCAATCAACCAGAAGTCAAGAGATGTGTTTTATATTGTTCTGTTATTTCCTTTTTTTTTTTTTGGTCTGAGGATGCAGACATAAAGGAAGAGAAAGGAATAGTCTTCCCACAAGTTTCTTACATGAGTCAGAAAAGGAAAAATCCTAAATCAATTCTAGTCAAACGATTATTGAGTGATTTTATTATTTAAAATGTTTAAATCTGTTGTGGATCTCACACAATAATAAATCACACACACACACACACACACACACACACACACACACACACACACACACACACGCACGCACACGCACCAGCATGCAGTGGTTTGTAACAATAGGAGAAAAACCACCATATGGTAACAATGCCAAGGATCAAGCCAGAAATGGCCATCATGCTCTCTCAAGAGTTCCAGTACTAACTTGGTAGGTGATGGCAAGTGATAAATACCCTGGGCAGTGAGGCAAGCCAAGTACACCTGTATTTGTATTAAGAAGTAAACAGTGTCAGGCATGGTAGTACTGGCCTTAATCCCAGCACTTGGTAGGCAGATATAAGTAGATCTCTGTGAACTCGAGGCCAGCCTGATCTGCATAGCAAGTTCTAGTCCAGGTAGGAAACAAGATGAGTGCAAGCAAAGATAGCATTTTCTCATAATTGAGAGGCTATATGGACATTATCTAATTATTATGAAGAAAAAAAAAAAGAAAATTGATGGTTTGTTTTCCTTCCCACAGGTTCAAGATGCATTTAGATGCCGGTTGAGAAACTGCCAGGATCCAATCAATGCTGATTCTTCAAGTTCTTTTCCTAATGGGCATGCTCAAATCATGGTGAGTTTTTATTTTCTTTCAGGTTGATAATTAGATCATGGTTTCTCAAGAAAAAAATGTATATGTATATGTAACAAATTCCTTGTTAATAAAATCGTCTAAAATCACAATTCTGCATTAGTTCCTCAAGACTTATACTTTGGAAGCTAGGAAATGACTTAGTGGTTAAAAGTACTTGCTGCCTTTCCAGAGGACTGGAGTTCAGTTCCCAGCACCCACATCCACAGCTCATGAGTACCTGTAATTCCAACTCCAAGAGATTTGATGGCCTCTTCTGGCCTCCATGTGCTCCTGCACACATGACACGCACACACACACACACACACACACACACACACACACACACACACACACACATACATAAATAATAAAACAAACATTTAAAATAAATACTTGGTACTTTGACGTCCAATAAACATTCTTTCTGGATTGCCTTCAAATCAAGGATCTGCCGCCATTGACTCCCTTGGGTGTTTAGAATGGTGCTCTGTACAACAGTGGAGAATATTTTCATCTTGTCTGGAGTTCAGTTCAAGATGAATTTTACACATGAGCATTACGACTTTCACATTTGTTTTTTTTTTTTTCCTGTGTGTGTTGTAGGTTTTTCCCCTTTCTCTCTTTTTATGAATTTTTGAGAATTTAATAAAGCAGATGTTGATTGTATCCCCTCTCCCAACTCATACTTAGTTGAATACTAGGATCCTTAGAGTAGCTGCAACTCAGAGCAGTTAAATATGTGTCTTTAAAGGTGACCCCCAGGTGATGGTGGCTCCCCTGTATAGCCTAAAGAAAACACCAAGAGACTAAAACACAAAGAAAAGGCCCCCTTCTGATGATGGCTCCATACTGTACATGAGCCCAGAGTACTGGTAGAGTTAAGGCTGCTGTAGGCATAAACACTTTGTCAAACTTTAGAAAAAGATAAAATTACTGTCATCAAAACAGAAATGCATGTTGGGTGTTGTGGTGCATGCCTGGAATGCCAGCACTGTCAGGGAGACAGAAGCAAGTGGAGCCTCCCACCACCACCACACACACCACACACACCCCCACCACCCACCACCCACCCCCCGGCTCAAGGGCACTCCAGACTGCCCTGCATGATTCTGTCTCAAAAGAAAACAACCAACTAACAACATGAGCAGACCTGAGACTGAAGAGGAGCGAGCGTTCTGTAGCATAAATGTTCCATTGTTAACATGTTTGGAGTAGGGAACATAAAAAGTATAGCTAAGTAATGTGTAAGGTAAGAAATAATACACCGTTCCTTACAAAAATCAGAGAGCCATAAAAATCTCTGTTTCAGATCCTGATGGTGGGCTGGCCAGATAAAGGTAAAGGTGTTTGCTTTGCAAACCCAGTGACCTGGATTTGATACCTAGGATCCACTAGGAAAGAACCCAAACCACCAAGTTTCCCTCTGACCTCCACATGCATCTGCATCTACATACACACACAGTACTAATAGTCATAAGTGGTAATAAAAATGAATATTAATAAGGAAAGGGATATAATTGAAAAACGTTGCTTACAACAGGCTAACTTGATTTTACCTTTAAAAAAAAAGCTGTTTGTTTAAAACATGAATTTGGGGGAAGGTGGTACTAATATCCCAAATATCCCAAAGATTCTAGGCCTAAGGAATAGGTGTTTAACCATCAGCTTTAATCTCTGTACCTGAGAGCATCTGGTCACAGTAGAGGAAATATGATTCTGTACAGGTGTGAGCATTAGCAAAACTACATCAGAGGATATTGCATCATGGGTAACACACTGAAACTGGAAGCATAAAATACAAAAGACAAAGACATTTATTGAAGGATATTTCTAATAGCATACCTTCTGGTTGCTTTATTAAAGTTAGGCTATTTCCTTCCATTTCTGGTCCTGTTTTTGTTTTGTTTTTGAAGCTCTGGAGAGTGAACCAAGGCCCTGTGTGGCCTGTAAGCTCACCCACTGAGTTACAGCCCCCGATTTTTTTTTTAAATTTTGAGACAAGATCTCATGTAGCTTAGGCTAGCCTCATCATTTAGCCAAGGATGACCTTGAACTTATGATTCTCCTTCCTTCACCATCCCAAGTGCTACATTACAGAGGTATGCCACCACTTACCCTTTTATTCCATTCTGGGGATTGAACCCAGGGCCTCGGGCATGCTAGGCAAGCACTCTACCAGCTAAGCTATGTGCTATATCCCTATCCCCACCCCTTTAAACTTTTACATCAAGCATGGTCTCACAGACCTTGACCTCATTCTCTGGCTCAGGTAGGCCTTGAACATGTAATCATCCGGCTTCATCTTCCTAAGTAGCTAGAATGACCACTGGAACCACCAGCCACAGTTAAAATTCTGTCACTTTTATGTGGTATTATGTTACCATATCAAAACTATGCCATTTTCCATGGGTTTTATTCACCATTTTGTCTCTAGAACATTCTGATTATTCCTAGAGAATCTTCTGTTGCACAGAACAATAAACTGATCCTGGCTAGCCATTACATCTATAAGCTTCAGAAAATCTGAATGTTAATAACATTTGAAATCTTCATTAAATAATGATTCTGTGCCTTATTATTTCCTGTTACAGACAGACTTTGAAAAGGATGTAGACATTGCTTGTCGATCTGGTAAGAATTCTTTGACCTTTTAACTATAATCTGTAGGGATGTGAAATCATTTTATGGGTTGTGATGTTTAAAAAGGGCGGTGCTTTGTACATCACACTCAGGTGGGTAGATAGTGGCATCTTCCAATGGATGTAACATCAGGGATCTATATACAGAGGGTACAGAGAAGGAATGAGAATTGAGAAAGAATAAGGAATGGATGGTGGAGAGCATCATAGCAGCAGAAAGCACTAGACATGCCATAGACTTCCATCCTCATGAATAAGAACACTTGTAAGGCAACTGACTGTAGCTGCTTTGTTTATCATAGAAAGAGTGTGAATCACTACAGGTGAACTACCAGTGTCTGTGTGTGTGTGTGTGTGTGTGTGTGTGTGTGTGTGTGTGTGTGTGTGTGTTTTAATGGTAGCTGTCCTCTAGCCATGGCAGATTTTTCACTAGAGAAGAGGCTTGTAAGTTTTAAAGAAAATTGCGAATTTTCTATTTTGGATATTTTTTTCCCCTAGTTAGGACATTGCCTCCCAGAGCATATAAAAATGTGCCACATTTTACCTTTTATTTGTTTTTCCCTGTGCTGTCTTTTTTCATATTAAAAGTGGGTATATATATTTCATCTGAGTATCCAAATATTTGAAATCAAATATCAATTAGTTCAATCAGAGTGCTTTTTGCCTTCAGATTTAGCAGCCATGTGCCATCATTCATTTCTAATAGCATCTTCCAAGGCCTGGTGCTGAAATAGCCCCCAATTTGTCAATAAATTTAAATTATAGTGTACACATGTATGCATACACATCCAGCTTTCATCACAGTTGGCTGTTTTCTTGTATTAATGTGGTCTACACTCACATCTGATTTGTGCTTCAGGACAAGTGTCAGCTTGTCATCTAAAACCTCTAAAATGTTTTATGGGTGCTGTCAGGGATTCTCCTAAGATTTATGTAAAAGTTGTGCTTCTGGTATGTTTTCCTAGAAAAAAAAATAAACTTCTGCATTTGTCTCTATACACTGTCATCTTAACTTCTTTCAGGATAGCATCTATTTGAGATTGTGTGGCCATTGAATTTTTGACATAGTACTTTCTAAATTTCCATCCAAACTGTCCACAAAGGAGTTAAATGTCATGACAGCTATTGCAGAACCTGGAAAGGCACCCACTTCGTACCTTCCAGATTCCCTTATGTGTTGTTTTCAGATTCAACTCAGAGCCATTACAATCTGTGCAAATGGCAGATCATATTTCTTGCCATAACCACAGTCACATGGGAAGCCAATCTTGAATTCAATCAAAACACTCTGGGTATGGTCACAGCAGTCGTAAGCTAGCAGCTATGATTTGGCAACCCATAGTGGGCCTGTGAGGGGAGGAGGAATTATCTATTCCTATAGAAAGCAACCTTATCCATCTTCTACGATCTCTAAAATTTACAAACCATGGCACAAGTTTCCGCATTTATAGAATACAATTTGGCTGTGTCGGGAGGCTTAAACTTATTTTAATGGTTAGGTATCTATTTAATTCCTAACCACCCATCCTCAATTTAGCTTCCTTGCCTCTCTTCATGTATTCCTTGGAGTTCTTGACAGAGGAATGAATGAGAACAGACACTTTTGTCTTCTCCTTAACAGCTATTTATGTCAAATCAGTGCTTCTCAAAGTGTGGTACTCAAACAAGCAGTGTGCCACCTGCCACTTCTTAGAAATGCAGTTTTGAAGACCTACCTAGACCTTCTAGTCCAGAAACTTTGGGCCTGGGGCACAGTAGCCAGGGTTAGAAGTCATTCAAGTCACTCTGATGCATTGTGAGTGCTGAAAACTCCCATGTCAGACCCTCTCTCCAGAGCTGTACTACCCAGCCCTTCAGTATGCACAATGTTGTCTTTTGGATAGATTGTTCCTTTTTCCCAGTCTGTACTGGAGTCTAGGTTAAGCCTTTTCAACACAGACTAGCACCACTCTGTTATTAAGAAACAACTGACAATATACAATCTGTTTTTGTTTTTAGCTAATGCCCTTTTTAGTTGGGCTCATCAGGTGCTTCCCTCCGAGTTTTTCAAGAGATGTCTGCATGTATTGGCTGTAGTGAATTTTAAAGTCTCAGTTCCTGGGCTCTGAGCAGTCTGTTCTAAACTTTGACAGATGCCAGAGTGTACATCTGCTTGTGCTAACTCTTCAGAATGCTTTCTGTGTGGTTTGGTTTTTATTTTCACAACTTAATAATTTATCTCAAAGGTCCGGCTTCAACACTATTGTCATTTGTAGGAAGTTTATATTCAAAGCTTGTTTACATTTTAACCAAATCGAAGAAGCAGGCTCATCTCTCACATACGGTGGACACTCCATAAAAATAATCACACTTATCAAATATTTAATGTATAGGGAGCATACAGTAAAAATCTAAATGTATCTTGTATCCAGATTGTGAAATCAATACTCATTACCAAGGTTTCCGTCATAGTTTACAACCTATTAATAAAAGTGGGAAACCATCTACACATCCCTACTACAATGCAATAGGTTCTCAGAATATGTATTTAAATTTTAGTGCTTTTGATTTTGAATTAATTTTTGTGTAAAGTTAGGAACTAAAACTGTTCTTCTGTGAATTTGGAAATGCTTTAAATATTGTTTTAATTTTGACTATTATTAAATTAGTCAATACACTTCACCCCTTAATGTTTAATTCATAATTATTTCTAGAAATTGCAATGTATTACTGCTCTCTTATTATCTTAAAAGGTTTGAGTTTTACTTTTTTCTTACTTTTGCTTTTACAATGTGTAGGTAGCCAAGGCTGCCACAGCCTTCCAAGTGCTATGATTACACACTACCACCATGCCAAATTTAAAAATAATATCTTAAAACTTAGTCTTTTCTTATTTTTATATATAAAAATGTAAAATATAAAAAATTTACAACCACATTGTGGATTCATGAAAAACATATATATGAATATTTAACATGATGGTATGGTATAGGAAACAAAGAGACAATAGTACAAAATTAGATACAGCATCTCTAAAGATAACAGGTGTTGTATGAGTGGTTCATGCTTTGGAATATTTCAAAGGCTTCATTTCCTCATTTCCTCATAGTAGCAAAAGATATTCATAATCTCCTGGTTTTCAACTTCTGTGCTAATTCATAATTATGATTCTGTTCAAAACTTGGACAATAATGGGCAAAATTCAGCCTCTCTGAAAGTTTTCATGCTTCCAAAAACAAATGTTCTATAGTTACCTATACATGATGAAGTTTTCTATAATAGTTGCTTTGCTTGGTCAGAATCCTACAACAATTTTGTTTTGAGACCATCTCACTATATAGCTTTGGCAGTCCTGAAACTCACTATGTAGACCAGGCTAGCCTCAAACTCACAGAGATCTGTCATTCTCTGCCTCCCAAGTGCTGGGATTAAAGGCATGCACCACCACACCCATCCCTCAAGAATCTGTTTTAATGAACAAAACTTCTATAAAACTTTAAAAGAAAGACTTATATGAAAGTAACAAATTTGTGTGAACAAAACTGTATTTTTAGAGAAATGTTTTGAAGTTGAATGATGGAGAAATTTTCTTTGGCAGTCTACTTTTTGCCTTAAAATTAATACAGAATTTTTTTCTCCTGGCAAGACATTGAGATTTGTTGAAAGCCAGTTAATCAACTTTCAGATATGCTTTCTCAATGCTCATGATCTATGCCAGCATCAAAGAATCAATAAGAATTCAGTAATCTGGATTATGAAGAAACAAGTGCAAATAATTTGTTAAAAGATCACTTTTCTTTTGCTTTATTAAGAGTGTTTCCTAGGAAAATAAATAATAGTATATAGCGATAAAAAGAAATACTTTCTTTTTACTAACTATTGTGGTCTAATTTGCAGTGCTTCATAAGGATATTGGTCCTTGCCGAGCAGCAACAATAACAGGAACACTCTCCAGGATCTCTCTAAATGACGATGAGGAAGAAAAGGGAACGAACCCTGAAGGGCTAAGCTATTCAACATTGCCTGGAAATGTCATTTCCAAAGTCATCATCCAACAGCCCACGGGCCTGCACATGCCCATGAGTATGAATGAGCTGAGCAGTCAATGTCTGAAAAAAGAGAACACTGAATTGCGGAGAACTGTGTACTTATGCACGGATGACAATTTAAGAGGGACTGATATGGACATAGTCCACCCTCAAGAAAGAATGATGGAAAGTGACTATATTGTGATGCCTAGAAGTTCTGTAAATACCCAGCCATCAATGAAAGAAGAAAGCAAAATGAATATTGGCATGGAAACCTTGCCGCATGAAAGGCTATTGCACTACAAAGTGAATCCTGAATTCAATATGAATCCCCCTGTAATGGACCAGTTCAATATGAACTTAGATCAGCATCTTGCACCCCAGGAACATATGCAGAGTTTACCCTTTGAGCCCCGCACAGCTGTGAAGAATTTCATGGCCTCCGAGTTGGATGATAATGTAGGGCTGTCAAGAAGCGAAACTGGATCAACTATATCTATGAGTTCTCTAGAGGTGAGTCCTAAGAGGTTAACTGGTTCCATGAGAGTTGAAGGGCCTACAGGCTGATTCATGTAATGTTGGTGTTAGGAAGATCCATGTTAGTTTGGGCAGAGTTTCTGATAGGTGCCTATTAAGATTCTGGACTTTCAGGTTTTCTAGTGGTACGTTGGAATCTCCTGGTTCAAGATGTTATTAAAATGTAGAGTCCAAAGTGTTTAAAGTGATACTAATCAGTCTTAATTCTCTCATACTAGGACTCAACATGAACCATTCATAAAAATGCAGCAGGTCCTCCTGGGGTTTCACTGATATGATAGGGCATTTTCCAATATAAAATAAAAACTGAATGGTGCTGCAAATTCAAAGCTCAATCTAAATCTTTTTCTACAAGGCAATCTATTAATATGAAATTGAAATGTTTCTGTGAGTAGTATCATAACACTGGTTATAAACATTCTTATCATATCAAATCAGTATTATTCAGAATTAATGTCTTGTTCTTAAGCCTATGGAATGGTGACCATTAAAAGTATTGGTCTTTAACTGTTAAGTATTCAAAGTATATATTCTAAGCATACTAAGACTCGGGACTAGGAGCCGACAATGGCCTTTGCCCTGCACAAGGCCATCAACAGTAAACATTTATACCACTCTCATTTTTTCCTTTCCAAGAAAATAGAGGGTTACTAACAATTATTACCATTCATGCTGTATTATAATTAAACAAGTAGGATTCACAGAATCCACTATCTAATTTTCTAATGATGTATCCCATTACCCTGGTACTGATTTGTATATATCCTGTATCCTGAAGTCTTGCTATAAGCCTACTGCTAAGATATATAGTTTATATAAAAAATATATTCTTACTTATCACATATATGCAATTGTTTTAATGTATTATATTATTGCATAAGTCACTATTTAGATAAAAGTCACTGTTATTTGTTGGATGGCCTTTCCATCAGAATTATTCTGATAATGTATTTCTAAGATGCAAAAGTCCCCAAAGGCAGTAGCTCTTCTAGATTCCCCAAAGCCATCCCTTTCACTCTGTCTAAATTAAAATGGATCATGAAATGTAGATAGATCTAGTTTTCTCAAGTAGAACAAGAAAACTCTAGACCAAAACCAGAATATAAATATACTCCAGAAGAAAGTCTTAAGTTTTGGATCAGCCTCAACTAGAAGAGGGTTTCGACAGAAATCTATGTAAGAATTCTTAGAATCAGAGGTGTTGATAGGGACAGCAAAGCAAATTCTGTTCTAGAGTAGCTGTCATGCCCTCTGCACAAAATCTTCTGTTTTCTTGACTAGTAGACTTGCTCCTGCTACCCCATCAGAACTTTATATCACAGATATTAACTTGTCTACTACAACCATGACCACATAAGCATCAGCTGCAAAATGTTCATGCAAAATTGCAAAGGGGCTTAAGAGGACTGAGTAAGAGTATACATAAGGATATAACATCAAAAGTAATCAGGATAGTGGGGGCATTGTTTCTATATAATGAATATTTTTAAATTACTAAAGAAATCTGAGTGGAATTGCACTAAAATAATAGGAGTGTTGTGAAATGTTTTACATTTAACATCTAAAACCTAACTAAGGTTGATAGTATGCAGGTGTTTTGTACTTGAACAATAGAGTATATTTTCCAAGTATTGATTAATTTACTTTTTAATTTTTAATTTCAAATTTCCATATCCTTATTTTAAGCATAAATATTATATATACACATATATGACAAAAGATCCACATTTTAATGACTTGGAGATCACAAAGCTTCTATTTTGAAAAGAAAGGAAATTCAGAATAAAAATTAGTTCCTTGTTCATTCTTTAAAAGTTTAATTGTAACTGCTTAGGTGATCTTTTAGGGAACAACTGAAAGAGAATATATACATGATAAAGTGGATAATAAAAAATGGCATTTATATAGAATTTTTCATTAGTAGATCTTCAAATCACCTTAAAAACATGAAGTAATTAATCTTCACAACATTTAGAAAAGTTATAATCTTCCAAGTGAAGGCATCTGTTCAAGGACACAGAGCAAGTATCTAAGAAATAAAGCTATCAAGTCCTTGGCCCCTCCCAATGAAACAAGAGGTTCACTATGCAGGAACATTCATCCTGGAAGGCTGGTGCAGCAGAACATGACAAGCTGTTGCATGCCCTATTCATAGATGTACTGTAAAGCTGTGACATTAACTCAGGAGTTCTCCTCCAAAAGAGGTGATGGGGAGCTCCGGAAGGGCACACGCTGCTGGTCAATAGCCCAGAATTCAGTAGTCCTGAGCAAACGGCACACAAGCAAATGCACAAGTTGAGGTAGCAAAGAAGAAAGCCAAAGGGTGAGTGGGTGGAAGCCTGTATTCAAGTAAGCAAGAGGCATCAAAGGAAGGGGCCGGCTCCGACTGTGGCTGCACCATCAGAAGAGGCTCCGGATTCCACGGGAGCTTGTTCTCCTAACCCCCAATTACTGGGCGTAAATGTTTAAGACATTCATGGAGTTCCTTGGCACAAAAGAGTATCCCGATTTTCTCCATGCCCATTATTACATGGTGCCTTTGTTTCTGTTACATGGTGCCGCCCCCAACTCTGGTCATTCCCAGAATGAATCTGTTAAGCCGCTTGGAAAATTCTTAGAATTTGAGCTTTGTAAAATCATGTAAAACTTGTAATATTAAGTTTTCATAAGTGGCCTAGCCCAAGATGTCCTCTAACTGCCTCACTTAGGGCGAAGATAAAATGGTCTTCAGCACTCTAAATAGTCGCCTTCAGGTAACTGAATATATCGAGTGCATGATGTGTACATGAGTATGGAAGGGGACAAAGAAAGATTCAACAATGACAAGGCTGGGTTGTGATCCTAAGCACTAGTTTAAACTTTAGAAGTTTATTCTATTCGACCTATTGTCTAAAAATTATAAGTACATTTTTACTTATAAAAAGGCAAGTCAGTTCGGGACATTCCAGGACGGCTACAACCATGAATCCACAGCGGCTGTGATTGCCCACACACGATCAAACCAGTCAACATTGCAGTGTGGAGGGGCTCATAAGCCCTGAGCCCTAGCTGAGGAGCTATGACTTCTAGGGGAGCTCAGAGAGCCAGTTTCCTTTAAGGATGTGCCCCCCTCATAAGTTGATCATGCTCCAGGGGATGGTCCCACACTGGTGAGTATAGCGGTAACACAAATATAGGGATAGGACTCAGTGGGCTATTAAAAGAGAGAAGAAGATATGAAGTTGGGAGGGATTGAAGAGTGAGGAACTGGGGGAATTAGGGAGAGTGAATACGATACAAATACATTTTATGAATTTCTCAAAGAATTAATTAAAATATTATATTTTTTAAAGGAAGGTCAGCACAACCTCTGAATTGTAGTGTGTGGTGATATTGTGTTCCCCAATATATTGTACACCCTAATTAAACTATCTGGGGTCAGAGAACAGAACAGCCACTAGACAGACATAGAGGCCAGGAAATGGTGGCACTCATACCTTTAATCCTATCACTTGGGAGGCAGAGATCCATGCGGATCTCTGTGAGTTCAAAGCCACACTGGAAGCAGCCAGGAATGGTGACTTATACCTTTAATCCCAGGAAGTGAGCCTTTAATCCCAGGAAGTGATGGCAGAAAGCAGAAAGGTATATAAGGCATGAGGACCAGGAATTACAGCTGGTTTAGCTTTTAGGCCTTTTAGCAGCACAGTTCAGCTGAGAAGCATCCAGTCTGAGGAAACAGGATCAGCTGAGGAATTGGCAAGGTGAGGTGGCATGGCTTATTCTGCTTCTCTGATCTTCCAGCATTCACCCCAATATCTGGCCCCAGGCTTGTTTTTATTAATAAGAGCTTTTTAAGATTCGTGCTACAGTACTGCTTGCTACCTATTGGTTTATTTTTTCTGAAATTTTACATGTGCATTGATGTCAGTTAAAGTTGGGCAGAATTTGCTCTGAGTCTGAATCACTAACAATTTATTGAACAGCGTGTGACTGTGCATGTCTTACATCTGTGTGGTCAGGACTGGTTCTTTCCCCTTTTCCCTGATGACTCAGGGTTAGCCCAGGTTGTGTATCACTGGTTTCTTGCTGGATTCAGCCAGCATGAAGCACTGGCCAGAGTCTGGGTTTGAGGGAAAAATAAAAACTAAAGAGAGCTCTACTCTGTTCCTGCTTCTGACATTCCGTTTGCTGTGTGCCCCTGTACACTTCCTGCTTCTGCCAGGTGCTCCACTCCTGGGACTGAGTCCCGCTCTCAGCTTCCTTTGCCCATCCATCTTAGCATCGGTTGGCTTCTTCTGCTAATCCATTGGTCACCTCAGAGTTCCCATTGTGGCTTCTCAGCTTCCCCATCACTCGAGTTCTTAAGGAACATGTTCTAATGTAAATGCAGAAGTGATTTCTGTTGCTCTCCTGTCAAGTCTTGCCTAAGTGCCACTTATCAACAAAACATTTGCATAATGGAAAAAGGTTTAGATAGAACAGTACAGCATTATGTTATTACATACAGAAAATTTTGCTACTCTGGTCTGTCTGACTGCTTCTGTACATCAAAGTATCCATCTATCTGGATACGCTCTCAGATAAGTCTCACTGCATTTATAAATGGGGTGGAATGAGATACCATTCTAGGCTTTCCTGCTGGATACAGAATACAGAGCACTCCCCATAATGGTTATCAAAAGTAAAGTATTTTAGTGATAATGTCACTTCATAGTGACTGTCACACCACCTCGTGCTGGTGTGAGGATCATATTACAGGAAAACCTTTTGAAGATTTGAAGGAGCACTTCAGATGTAAGGCTGTGTTATGATAATGTCATTGCTGTCACACTCTGAATGTCTCTAAAGACACTGGAACACTACTAAGTCAACATTTGGGAATTTAGAAAAAATGTTATATGGCCTCACTTAGGCATCAGGAGGTAGGGTCTCAAACAGAAACCAGATAAAACTGACCATGTGCAGAAGCCATGGTTCATTTTATATATTTTTTT